CTACATCTCCCAGGTATTTTTCTCCGTCTCCCTCCTCTCACTGATGCACTTTTAACCTGAAGCTATTAGCACACACTATCTGAATTCCACTCTACATCACTTATTTCAGCCTTCAGCTTTTTCGCATTTGCCGATTTCCACCACTTTAACTCTTGGAGGTGGAGGAAATAAATCAGGGACGTTATCTGTGTCTCCACAGACTCTTTGAAAAGCTCTAAGACAATTTAAAAGTAGAACGAAAGGGGTGGGAGAAAGGAACAAGAAAGCTATTATCCAAACTTTAAAAATGACAGCCCCTTTCTGGAAACATTCCTACCAGCGCAAGAGTAGAAAAGAGGACTTGCCTGGGCAGAGCCGAGATGAAAGGGTAAACCCAAGGGCAACCCGCCCAGCACAGCGCCTATCTCCCGTGGCTGGCTGCCACAGCTGGTTAGGTGTGATGGTGTTATGCTTGGCAGAGTGGCCTGTTTGCACAGGCCGTTAGTAGTGTGGCGGGAAGCAATGGATAAGAGGAGAAAAATGGTTTTTATCCAACGAGAGAACTTTGCCCCTTGGCAAGGCACCAGACAGCTGTGAAAAGTTTTCTCCCCCTGCAGCTTCAGGCTATTCTCTACAGGTTGCAGCTTCCTTTTAAATTAATTGGAGGAATGACTTATGCAAGGAAAGACAGGGCACGATGGACCACTGAACCAGGCTTTCATTTTTACCAACCTGGAGAAAATAATATAAATACTAAAGCAGGCTTGATTTTTATTCATGATATACAAAAAATGGACATGGAATAGGTACCATCCGGATATCCCTCTTACTTGTTCATCTTAAGTGTCAATTCACATCAAATACAGGCAAAGAAGGGTCAATAGCAAATATCAGTACGATGCCAGGAGTTCTGCTACCGAAGGGAATTGATACTACATTTTTTTCATTTTCCCTTCCTATACCAGGGGCAAAGTGAAACACTATCACACACAGTAAGTAGCCTTGGATTTAAAAAACCTAATTTTAAAAGCAAATCCTGACCATAGGGAAAAGAATACAGAAAGCCAATTGAAACCTCTTATTTATGTTACAAATCTGTTGCTTCACACTATTTTGGAGAAATGCAGGCCTTGTGTAGTTAAAAAGAAATGCTAGTAATGTAATGCAAGAGGTGCTGATTCAGTTCTAACTTTCTGCCCACACTTCTAAAGCTTAGAATTCAGTTATGAAATTAGAAGATAGTTCCCATCAGGACAAGCTTGTTCTCTTTACCAAAATATTACCCACTTTGGGGGGGGATTTAAAAATGAATTGTCATTCTTATGAAATAATACCATTCATTGCCATCAAGTCGGAACCGACTCCTGGCAGCTTAGAAATTGTCCAAAACGATAGCACTCAAGATTCAAGATTACCGAAGCATCCATTCCCTTCTTATTTGAACTTCAAAATGGAATATCTAATTTCACACCTTTTTTATATGTAAGGGAATAATTTAAATACTGAAACTCACTTTCAAGTTAACTAACTCTGGCGGCTCTGGTAAAGAATTGCCTGCCACCCCAGAGGTATGCCCTTCAAATTAACCAGCTGCTCCACGGGAGAAAGATGGGCAACCTTCTCCCTTGTGATTTTATTGTCTCTGAAAACCAACTGGTCACCTATAAGTTGCTTCCAAATTGATGGTACACATGAGCAATATTACTATTATTTCATATTCATGCATACATTTAAAAAATTCCTTATGAATAGAGAACAAACGTGCAGAGCAGATTTTTTTTTCATAATAATTCAAATTTTAAACACTTAAAAATATTTCCTAGATTTGGGGATTTTTTAAAAAATAATTCTGTTTGATTTTTTTTGTTTGTTTGTTTTGTTTCTTCTTCCCCTGAATTTAATTTGGCATCTTTCTGTAGAATTCTTCCACATTTTATTTCACAATCACTTGTTATGCATCAGAGAGTTGGACAATGACCAAGGCGGATAGAAGGAGAATTGATGCCTTTGAGCTGTGGTGCTGGAAAAGAGTATTGAGAATACCATGGACTGCTAGGAAAACAAACAGATTTCATCCTGGAGAGAGTTAAACCGGGCAGCTCCTTGGAGGCAAGGATTCTGAGGCTCCATCTAACATACTTCGGACATGTTGCAAGGAGGGACAGGTCCTTGGAGAGGGACATCATGCTTGGGAGGGTGGAGGGACAGTGCAGGAGGGGAAGGCCCTCTGTGAGGTGGATTGATTACTGGGGTAATTGGGATGGGTATGTCAGAGACAGTGCGATTGGCACAGGATAGAACAGAGAGGGCTGTTGTTTATAGGGTCGCTATGAGTCACAAGCAACTCGACGGCACATAACAACAACAGTTGCTCTTACCAAGATCCAAGGATCAGTGACATCTGGCAAGACACCATTTGTGCAGTTATTTTGTTTGAACACCAGATGGCAGAAGATCTCTAGAAGTGAAAGGTAAAGCATCTATTCCAAACATATTAACATCGTTGTTACATCATTATGATCTGGACCCCCACAATCAGTTATGCTATTGGAGCTCTGATGGCCTAGTGATACGAAGCTGTGCTGCAATCCTAATGGGTTTTCAGAGGCAGTAAATCACATGACAGGATATTGCCCATCCTTCTCCCATCGAACAGCTGGTGGACTGAACAGTCTGCCTTTGAAATTGTAGTGCTGCCTCTTACTACGAGGCCATCAAGGCGTAGAAACATGCAAAAATCTCTTGAAAGACAACTAGTGGTTTTGCATAAGGTGCACTGATGAGGAATCAAACCCAGTTCTCCTGCATGAAAGGAAGGAATTGGTAGATCTAAATTTAATTCCAGATCCAGTATTTCACAAGCTATGAGTTCCTGAGCAAATGTTTAACCTCGATGGGCTTTTTATTTTCCATAAGGTTATGGTATTAAGTAGCCCTTCGAGGATGCCAGTATAAGAATATAACAGGATATATTCTTATATATCACCGCAATATCTGTATCTTACTTATGATATCTTACTTATCACCACATCTGGATCATGAGGAAGGTTTGATAACAGTTTCTACAAACAGCTTTTTAATTAGGTGTTTGTAGGAAATAGGATGAATCATAGCTTCCCAGAAATTTCAAGAGAAATATAGATGTTTACAAATGAAGACACTATTTCTTAAATTAATCTGCCGTATTTATGATAGCATTTTTCCTAGAATGCTCCTTAGAAGTGAAGACAGCAAGACTAAGTTTCATGTATTTGGACATGTTATCAAAAAGTCCCTTGAGAAGGACATTGTGGTATCAGAACCCTTTAAAAGTGTTTTTCTAGCCAGTGTATTAGCACCCTTGGGGAGGAGGGGCATGGTCTCCAACTCCCTTAACTGAAGACATAAGGTCTTGCAAATCATCAACAGCTGTGGGAACTTTATAAGAGCACCTTCCACACTGTACGGAGACTATAGATACTGTGAGAGTTGGTGGTAGAGAGAGGGTAAAGAGATGGTGGCACTGCTGTAAAGTAACTGTGCCAAGGTGTAATCAGAAGAACCTTGGAGATAAAGTCACAATTAAACATTTTGCTTCCTGGATGTTTGAATGTAAAAGCTCATTTGTAACTACCCTGAGCTAAAGTTTGTTGGATGATTTAGGAAACCAGAGGTTTATTTGTGCTGCTCAACTGGACCCAGACTTTCATTTGTTGACTGAGAAACTAATTGAAAAATTGTGCCTTGTTAATCTGGCTTGACACTGTTGGACTAAACTCGAAATTGCATTGTGTGATATTCTTTGCTTCCCCCACCCCTCAACCTATTTCCCTAATAGACTCCATGACCGAGTAAAGTAAGTCTTTGAGTCAAGTCGCAACAAGCATTGGACCCAACGATTGGTAGAAATAGGTGCAGGATCATGCAGAGTGGCATGTCTGACCATGTAGTTGTTTGTGCAGTGCTATGGACGTGTTGTTGATGAGTAAAGGTCCCCGTTATCAAGTGGGTAGAAGTCAGACTTGGTCAGCCTCATGTTGCATCTGCTCCTTTTACAGACATCATGCATAGTAAAGGATGATTAAAAAAAAAAAAAGAAGTCTCCCAATGAGATGGATTGAGGTTGTGACTTCAACAGTAGCCTCAAATAGAGCAATGGTTGTGAAGATAATATAAACAGGCAGTACTGTGTTCCGTCATACTTAGGTTCTCTATGAGTCAGCACCTAACAACAGCAGTATCAGCATATACTTAAAATTAAGTACTCTTCTGGTAGCTTGATAGCTCTGTACATCAAGGGGAGTTAGGCAAACGTTGTGCTGTCTTTAAATTCAATATAAAATTTTCAGTGCTTTCAAACAGAAGCAAGGGAAGTGATTACAAGGACTAATGACTACCACTGCTGCATCTCTAACTTACGCTGTCAGTGAAAAATAACGCAGTCTTGTTCCATCAGCACGCACTCATTGAGATAACAATTTTCAGTTCCTGAGTAATACAGCATGCAGCTTCTATAGCCACATATGCAAATGATTTGTTATCACTAATGTGGATGGTTGTGCCCATAAATCTGTTCTTCTGAATTATTAGATAATTTAAATTAAAAATTAAATTTCCTGAGTGATTTAATTCCTTTAAACACACACACACACACACACACACACACACTCATGTATAAATGGTTTAGAATGTAATGACCTCTTATATTCAATGTCATGATACTAATACTACAGAAATATCTCCAGGCTGATTCTGAATTTTAACCATATCCTACCAAAAAAAAAGGGATTGAAAGTAAATCAGATGTATCACATAGAAAGATAAATCAAATACATAGTTTAACACAAATTCCTTGGACACAATAGTACAGAATAAGGACTGAGAGCTTGGACTCCATAGGCAAAGAATCTATATTAATAACTATGTCCTCAGCCCTCTTGTTTATAAACATATTTCTATGGTAAACAGTATAATTAATTAGAGTAGAATTAAACTATAGTATAGAATTAAGATAATAATTCAATTATTAGGTGGATACATACTGTTCCAGGTCGGGGATAAGGAATTCTTCCATCATATTGTACCCAGCGATGATCTGCACTTTCCTTATGAGCATAGGGACCATTAAAAACAGCTCTGATATCAGCCATGCTGTACACACAAACCGCTGAGCCTTTGAAGATGGAGCTGCAAGAAAGCAACAAAGGTCATCCGTTCACAGATGCATTCAGCCGACATTTACTGAGCACATGCTATATTCCAGACACTGTACACAAAAAAAGGACTGAACACTTTCTTTGTTCAGAACTGGACAAAACGTATCTACCCTCAAGAAGTTTATGACCTAGTGATTCTGAACAAAATGTGGTAAGAACTACACTACATTAGGGTGGGAGGTTAATCATAGGGTTGCATAATTTGATGGGGGTACGACGGAAATGGGCAGGGTCTTTTGTTAAAAACGGTGTATTCAAACTTTGTAAATAAATCAGTAAAAAAGAACTACACTACAAATGAGTAATAACAAGCAACTACGGTGAATATTGATACATAAGCACAAAAAGCTGCCACGTAAGTTTTTAGTAAAGATGTGGCATCTAGATAGACACTAATGGATAAGTAAAATGATCTAGAACATTTTCTTTATATATTCTTTAAATGTATTCAAACTAAACCTTCTAAAATGCTTAGAAAAAAGTATCTATTTCTCTAAAAAGCTTTAGATGTGATTAGTAATTCTTTCACTTACCTACCTTCTTAAAGTGAGTGAATGTGCATAAATACATGCTATTTAAAAAGTCTCTCATAGAATGTTAAATGACTTCAAAATATTGAAATAACCTTTCCAGCTCCTCCCTGATTTTGAGTTTATGAATTACAGTAATGGATTGAGTATCAAGTTAATCATACACAACACGGCAGTCTGTATTATTAAAAGGTAGGAAGGTCTAGAGAAATTCTAGATTTATTTTTAATAAACTAATGATAGATACTAGGCATTGGTGAGATGAGATGGACTGGCATGGGGCATTTCGAGTCAGATGATCATATGATATATTATTCTGGAGACGAAAAGGTGAGAAAAATGGAGTTGCTTTCATAGTCAAAAAAGAAATTTCTAGGTCTATCTTGAAGTACAACATTGTGAGTGATAGGATTATATCCATACGCT